TGGTGCAATATTCTGTTAGGATTTATTATCTAAGTTTGCTTTCAGAGGGGAAACATAGACTTCTGATGTTGCATCCCTCCATTTAGAGGTTGCATTTTTGAATTCTCATCTTCATTGGTTTCTATCCAGAACAGCTTGTCTCTTGGTGTTGCTGCCCATACTCCACCATTCTTGGCCCTCCTAGAGGGCAGCAGAAGAAAAAATAAAGAGGTGTGCATTTTATAGCCTAGGTGAAGGATACCCATAATGGCATCTGCAGGGCTAGAGATCATGGCTATGGCCCTGTGCATCTTTGGCTGGTTGGGGACTATCCTTTCGTGTGCATTGCCCATGTGGAAGGTTTCAGCGTTCATTGGAAACAACATTGTTGTGGCGCAGATAATCTGGGAGGGACTGTGGATGAATTGTGTTGTACAGAGTACTGGCCAGATGCAGTGCAAGATCTATGACTCCATGCTAGCCCTCCCTCAAGATATCCAAGCTGCCCGGGCCCTCATGGTTGTCTCTGTGGTGCTCGCTGTCCTGGCACTGTTGGTGAGCATTGTTGGAGCCAAGTGTACCAACTGCGTGGAGGAAGAAGGTGCCAAGGCACGTATTGTCATTACCTCAGGTGCCTTCTTCATCATCTCTGGACTTCTCGCCCTCATTCCTGTGTGCTGGTCAGCCAACTCCATCATCCGTGACTTTTACAATCCAATTGTGGCTGAACCTCTCAAAAGGGAACTGGGGGCTGCTCTCTATGTTGGCTGGGCAGCTTCCGCCTTACTGCTCCTTGGAGGATCACTCCTGTGCTGCTCCTGCCCGCCACGGGAGAACCGTTACCCAGGCCGCATTGCATATTCTGTCCCAGCCAGATCTACTGCTCCACCAGGCAGTGCAATTGACAAGCGGGACTATGTATGAGCAGCTGTGGTAGAGGTGGTGAAATCTGCCAGATACTGTGAGGCCCAAACTAAGACAGGTATTATTGGCCCAAGGACTTCTGGAATAAGAAGATGGGACAACCTAATCGGTTTGGGTTCAGCTGTGATATCTGGCAATTCTGGAATGTCGGTGTGCGTATGCGTGGGTATATAAGTATAAGTGAGAGATGTGAATGAGTGGATGACTGGGGAAATGTGAACAAATAAAGGAATACGTGAGAGAATGAACAAACATTTCTGAATGAGATGACTACATCAGCAAACACAAGTGGAATGCAGAAACAAGTGGGGTGGCTGAACAAACAAGGGCAGGTTGAGAGGACAAGTATATGGATAAGTTAACAGCTACACAAAATGTGCATGGAGGTGAAAAATAAAGAGGTAGATGAGGAAGAATAGAAACATCCTGATAACAAAGGCTGTGCAATTTGGTAGAATGAGGTAGCTATCTTAGGCCAAAGTAGTGGTCTTCTCCTTTTCCCTGTTGTTCTTCCAAAGACTTCAGGCTGTTCCTTCTCTTGGAAGACTGAACTGTGAGCCACAAGGTGTGCCCTGCGCTTCTAAACTAGCTGGATGTCCTCATAAGCTGGCCTGTCAGTGATGATGAAGTGTGAGTCAACTTCTAAACCAATTGTCTTTTGTATATAGAATAGAGTGCTGCCATAATGAAAAGTGGTCAGACAATCACTGCAGAGGATCTTGGAGGAAGCAAATTATCTGGACCCTTTTAAGTTGGGTTTCAGGCTGTACAGTACAGTACAGTACAGTACAGGTGACGCTGTCAATGTTCTGTCCCAGTGTCTGGAGGTGTTCGGGTCTGGATGGGGAGGAACAGACTGGATCAATCCTGACAAGACCAAATGGGCGATGTATATTTAACTGTCCCCCCCGCCCCAGATCTGGGGACTTTTCATCTTTAGTTTTATATGGGATAGTGCTTCCTCACTTGAGGCTGGTACGCAGCCTGAGGATCATCTTGGATTCATAGTTCCTACTCAAAGAGCAGGAGGGTCTTTGCACAGATCCGTCTGGTGCACAACTTGTACCAGTTCCTAGAATGGGAAGCTCTTCAGATGCTCACCTATGCCCTAGTTACCTTATGAATGGACGATTGCAATGCGCTGCACATGAAGACCACTTGGAATCTACAACGGTCCAGAATGCAGCAGGGCAGGCAGTGATGTTCATGCTATGGTACACCCATTTATCATTGCTGCTGCACGAGCTGCACTGGTTCCCAGTCTGCTTCCAGGTGTAATTCCAGGTGTGATTCAAGGTGCTGATTATCACCTACAAAGCCCTTCATGGCATTGGGCCTGGTTATTTGACGGATTGCCTGTTCTGATAGTTTCTGCCCACCCAGTAAGATTAGGCAAAGTGGGTGCATTCCAGATCCCTTTAATTAAACAGGAACCTAGGGAGTGTGTCTTCTCTGTTGTGGTGCCTATCCTCTGGAACAGCATCCCCTCCAGAAATCTGTAAGGCTCCCACCCTGATGACATTCCAAAAGATTTTGAAGACTTTGGGTAGGGTGGGTGTAGAGCCCCTGACAGTTGTTTCATTTTTTTCTGAATGTACATGGTTCTTTTTTCTTATTATATGGTTTTCTTATTTTTTAAAGTGTAAGCTGCTCAGAATCACCTGAAGTTGGGTGACCCCTACATTTAAATAAATAAACACACAAATATCCTTTATCTCAATCAGCAGATTGTTTTGGGTCTGCCCAAGCAGATGTACAAAGAGAACAGGCCATGAGACCATGAGGATAGACCAAGAAGCAGACAAATTAAATAATGAGAACAACAGGAAATGGCACTGAGAATGGGCTGTGATATAAACTCCCTTGACTACTCTGATACAAAGGCCATTTTTTGGTCAAGATCTGAACCTAAGAGAATAAGGAGAGACAGAGTTGAATAAAAACTGTGGAATTTAATTTTGAAAGGAACGAAAGAGGAATAAATGCATGTTTGACTGAAAAAATCAGGGACTTAATGACTCTAAGAAGAGTTGTGAAGAGAAAAGGTAACCAAGCCAAATCTGCATAAATAACAAATGATTCATGGAAGATGTGAATGTTGGAGGAAGGCCAGAATTCTCTGCAAGAGGATGCAGGGAGAAAAAGACTGAAGTGGGAGCAAAAAAGCTAGTTTGGATTTAGTGAAACAGTTGGGGGGGGGGGAGGGGGAAAGGACCCTGACCCTACAATTGCCTTGGACTGGTACTGTTTGCTCTCTGGTTAATAATTTGTCAAGGATTTGGCCACTCTCAGGGGCCTGGATAAACAAAGGGGTCTATTTCTTCCCCTGACCATTGATCTTTACCCGCTACAACCACCTGCCTCAGACAGTGATAGAAAGAAATGCATCAGAAAGAAATAGAACTTCGAACAAATGCATTAAGCCTCGTCCCTTTACAAAGATATTCTGGCTTGCCATCTGTTTGGATTTGGGTTAGAGTCTCTGGAAAACAAAAAGATTATTTCTTCTCTCTTGTTTTGCTCTATTTGCTTTGTTTTTCAGAGATGTCCTGCAATAATGCAATTCCCTTAAGCTGGAAGAGACCATGAGCTTCCTTTTCATGGTTCTCCCACCCAGAGTTCTGCATAGTATTAATTGGCAACTATATTATTCAGATAAATTAAAAAAAAAAATTTGTAACTTAATTGTGCCTGACTTTTTTTGAAGTGGGGAATGGGAGTTACAGAATTTCGGAAGCGGTATTGATGTGAAAGTCTAACAGTCAAAGGATGGGAGTGCAGGCTTTGTAGAATGCACTTGACTTGGTTACGGAGTTAACCCATAGTTAAGATTCACACAGTACATTGAACCAAATGGGCCGGGGTTGCACAAAATAGTCAGCTACCACAAAACAAACCAGGGTTAAATTTAGCCAAGTATGACATGCTGGGCAAATACAAACCCTTAAGACTATATCTGACCTAATGTGTCATTAGAATGCAGCATGCCATGCAATGTTAAGTCTCTCCCCCAGTGCTTCATTTTGCACAGGACTGATGCTGAATATTAAAAATACAACGCTATTTCATGGCAAATCTTGTCTGACCCAGTAGCTCCTACTCTTGAGTTCCACATGGGTAAACTAGTTCAAGAATGGCACTCTGTATGCACTCAGGGATGCCCTGACTGCTTTCTGTCTGCTTTGTCCTTCTAAAGTGGGTCTCCGGTTAAGCTGTCCTACAGCCTCAAACTCAAATAAAACAGCGAGGTACAGTAAGGCTAACATGCTAATGCGATTGCACAATTGTAATAGAAAGTAAAAATCACCAAGTGTTTAAAAACAACAGAGCTACAGGAGTTCACAACTGGTTTGAAACTGGCTCTACTTTTAATCCTGATCTGTTGAAACTGGTTGGAGGGTGTTCAGTGGAATTGGAGGCAGTCTGGACGTACTCAGAAGCACTCTTCTTTTCAGCCGAGGTGAAAGTATAAAAGAAGAAGAAAATCGCTCCTTGATCATGAGGGAGAGAGAGAAAGCAACAAGCCTCAAATTAACCTCATCCTAACAAGAGTATATCAAACTGCTAAGACCATTGCACTCTGTGGTGTAGAATAACATGCCAGCAATTTGTCCAAAACAGAGCACGGAAATGCACAAATAATATATTTGTCATTTGGCATATAGGAGGGAAAGTACAGAGCAGGCAGAGTGGCACCTGAAGAATCTTGGCTTCTGAAGACTAATTTCTTCTGGCGTGTGCTTTGGGGACCCAGGGTCCACTGCCCCAAAAGCCCAGGTGCAAAGGGAGACAGACATACTAAATTCCATAGAGAGAAGGTGGGGCTGGTAGTTTGGGGAAAATGCAGGTACACATTTCAGGCATACTTAGGCACACTCCATTCCTTTTGATTCTTTTGCATATTTTGGGCCAAAGCCCTGCTATCAAAGGAAAAAGGTGGTAAAGCAAAGCAAATATCAAGTTTCTGAGGTTGAGTCCCAGCTATAATTACATGTGTGTTCAAGTGTAAAATAGAGGCAAAAGATATACAACGTAAAGTGTGTGATGTTCCCAGTTGGGCCTTCATAACAGCACTTCAATAGGTCATGGTTGGCGGCAGTGACCCCTCAAGCAAGATTGGCCATTAATATTTACCTAGGAAGTTTCACTTTCTTTTCCACCTCTTTTAATTCCCCACAATTCTGAAAAGATGGTGCTCTGAATTATAGAAAATTAAAGTGGAGTGTACGTGTGTGCGTATGCACAGGGACACACTGAACAGCCACATGGGATTGTGTAGACCACAATACTGCTTGCTGTGTTGCTAGCACAGGTTAACAGAGGAAAGAGCTCATCAAGAGGCATTTTGCTCAAATTTGAAGCTGCTTCTAAGGCATAGCAATGAAGACCAAAGCGTTTATCTTGCCATTTCCTACCCTCATGGACCTCCTCCCCCTCCACAAATTCCCAAGGGGCACAAATCTCTTGGTCTCTACATGGCTTCCTCATACATTTAACGGCAGGGGCATAAGTATCAATGGCACCTATTCTTTACCGGCCCCCCCGGTGAATTCCAGGCATTTTTCTGATATGTGGCAGAGGGAAGAGAATGCACCTATAGCTTCCCCGATTGAGAGGATATCTACTAAAGCTGTTCTTCCTAGAATAATTATTTCAATCTAGTACCAGAAATGAGATGTGCATGAAGGAATGTGATGTTTGCTTTATAGGGAGTGGCCAGGTTTACTTATAATGCTTAGCCATGGTTTGTTTAATAATTCACAATGGGCTAGTTCATATGCCCTAAACCAGGGTTCCTCAACCTTGGCGACTTGAAGATGTGTGGACTTCAATTCCCAGAATTCCCCAGCCAGCACAGCTGGCTGGGGGATTTTTGGAGGTGAGGGCCACACATCTTCAAG